AATTAAAACCTTTTGGGCTTCAAAGAGCATTGTTATGGATATAAAAAGAGAAGAAAATGCTTATAAATCAATATCTGAGAAGGGAACTTGTGTGTAGCACATATAAAGAGCTCCCATAAGTCAATAGTAAAAAGGAATGAAGTCATAATGCATGCCCCTGTGTGGCTGAACCTCAAAAACACGTCCAGTGAAAGAAGGCAGCAATGAGGAGCACGAAGGGGATAATGCCATTTACATGATTCAGAATAGCAAGTCTCTAAGAAACAGATTAGCAGTCGGCTAGAGCTGGGGAAGCAGTGGGGGTTTTCAAGGGAAAATAGGAGCAACTGCCAGTGAGTACAGAGTTTCTCTTTCAGCTAAAATTCTGATGGCAGCACACCTTGTGAGTGTACTAGAAACCATGGAATTGTACATTCAGTGGGTGTATTGTATGCTAAATGAATCACATCTCAATAAAACTGTTAAAATTAACCAACAACAATAGCTGTCTTTTACAGAGCTCTTACTATAGAGTGGACGGTGTATGAAGTATTTACCTGCACTACTTTGTTCTTCAGCAGAAAGAAATGAGTGTTATTTTCTCTCTATTATGGATGATAAAATGCAGAAAGCTTAAGTCACTTGTCCAAGAGAGCACAGCTAAAAAATTCCATAGCCTAGATTTATTTTTTTAACACTTATTTATTTATTTATTTGAAAGGCAGAGGAAGAGGCAGAGAGAGAGAGAGAGAGAGAGAGAGGTCTTCCATCCGCTGGTTCACTCCCCAGATGGCAGAAATGGCTGGAGCTGGGCCGGTCCGAAGTCAGGAGCCTGGAGCTTCTTCTGGGTCTCCCACATGGGTTCAGGGTCCCAAGCATTTGGACAATCTTCTACTGCTTTCCCAGGCCATAGCAGAGAGCTAGATCAGAAGTGGAACAGCCAAGACTCGAACCAGCACCTATATGGGATGCCAGCACTGCAGGTGGTGGTTTTATCCACTCTGCCACATCACCAGCCTCCAAAGCCTAGATTTAAATTCAGATAAATCTTTTCATCTACAGTACACATTCTGGGACTGGCATTGTGGCACAGAAGGTTAAGCCAGCACCTGTGATGCCAGCATCCGTATGGGTGCTGGTTTGAGTCCCAGATGCTCCAGTTCTAATCCAGCTCCCTGATAAAGCACCTGGGAAGCAGTATAAATTGGCCCAAGTACTTGGGCCCCTGCACCTACACAGGAAACCTGGATGGAGTTCCATGCTCCTGGTTTCGGCCTGGCCCAGGCCCAGCCATTGCGATCATTTGGAGAGTGAAACAGCAGATGGAAGATCTCTCTGTCTCTCCCTATCTCTGTAATTCCACCTTTCAAATAAATAAACAAACCTTAAAGGAAAAAATAATAAAGTACACGTTCTTGGAGCACGCATTTGGCATAGTGGGTAAGATGCCAGTTGGGACACCTGTGTCCTGTGTTTGAGTGCCTGGTTTGAGTCCTGGCTCTGTTCTCAATTCCAGCTTCCTGCTACTCTACCCCCTGGGAGGCAGCAGGGGATGGCTGAAGTGCATGAGTCCCTCCACCCATGTGGGAGACCTGGATTGAACTCCTGGCTTCTGGCTTCAGCCTGGCTCAGCTCTGAGTATTGCAGGCATTTGGAGAATTAACCAATGGTCAATAGCTCATGCTCTCTCTCTCAAATATAAGTAAGCATGTAGGTAGGTAAATAAATAAATAAAGTACATGTTATTCAATTGCATTTTATGGATTAGAAAATATAAATCTAATTCCTTTCAATTTTATTCAATAAACATTACTGATCATCTACTATGAGGCAGGCCTTGTGTTTCCCAAAGCAGATGAGGATATACCACAAGTGATCTTGATAAACTCTTCTTGGAAAAAAAAACTTTTAAATTATGTTTAAAATATACACAAAATTCACACTTGGCCATCTGCAAATAGAGTTAAGTGTGACTAAGTTACTCACTTTGTTGTGCAACCATTAGCACTATCCGTCCAGCTCTAGAATGTTTTCATCTCCCAAAACTGAGTCTCTATACCCAGTAAACACCAGTTCCCCATTCCCACCTCCCCTAGTCCAGCCCTATAGCCACCATTCTACCAACTCTAAATTTGACTATTTTAGGGCGGGCGCCGTGGCTCAATAGGCTAATCCTCCACCATGCAGCGCCGGCACACCGGGTTCTAGTCCCGGTCGGGGCACCGGATTCTGTCCCGGTTGCCCCTCTTCCAGGCCAGCTCTCTGCTATGGCCAGGGAGTGCAGTGGAGGATGGCCCAAGTCCTTGGGCCCTGCACCCCATGGGAGACCAGGATAAGTACCTGGCTCCTGCCTTCGGATCAGCGCAGTGCACCAGCCGCAGCGCACCAGCCACGGCGGCCATTGGAGGGTGAACCAACGGCAAAGGAAGACCTTTCTCTCTGTCTCTCTCTCTCACTGTCCACTCTGCCTGTCAAAAAAAAAATTTGACTATTTTATATGCCTTATATGAGTATAATCATATGGCATTTTTCCTCCTGTGATTGCATATCTTCAGGTTCATCTCTGTCATAGAACATGACAGAATTTTCATTCTTTTTAAGGGTGTGTAATATTCTACTGTGTGTAGAGACCACATTTTGTTTATCTGTTCACCCATTATTGGACATTTGGTTTGTTTCCACCCTTCGGCTACTGTGAATAACGCAACTATGAACAGTGGGATACAAACATCCATTTGAATCAAATTTAATTTTTAAGTGCCTTGTTTATATTGTGGATGGTCCATGAGATGATTTTAGGGTAGCACATGCAAGAACTTATTGAAATTTAATAATTATGAAACGATTTTAATCTTATTAGAGTAATGATAACGAGCATCTCAAGCCATCAATGTCACAGGTACTGCCTCAGCTCACAGGGTTTCTCAACTTGAATATCACTGGCCTTGAGGCCAAAAGACAACAATGTGAGGGGCTGCGCTGTGCACAGTAGGATGCTTGGCAGCGTCTCCAGCCTCTGCACACCAGAGACCAGCAGCACCTCTCCAGGTGTGACAACCAAAAATGTTTTCAGACATGGTCAAAATTGCCCCAGGATAGGAACCACTGGTTTAAAGAGGGACTGAGAAGGTATTTATTTTTAAATGAGTTAATTTGATGGCATTTTTCATACATAATACAGCAGAGAGCACAGAGACAGAAGGCAGTATGTGGACACCTGGAGTTTGGGATGCTGTTGTGTCCTGGATGATCCGGATCGCACGGCACAGGCGAAGCTGTTAACTGCTCCCCTCCACCTGTTCATCTTCTCTTCTACCGATTCTCCATCTACACTCTGCAGTCTATAAACTATCGTGCGTCCTTCCACCAAAGCACTTCTGTTTCTGGCGTCCTCCCCACCTGGAATGCCAGTCCTTCCCCTCCCACATACTCCCGCTCAGCTCTGTTGTACAATGAGGCCAGGTCAAATCTCCAAGACTTTGAGTCAGAACATCTTGCTCCCTCCTCTGAATAATTATTTATGACATTGATTGTACTCTGTTGCTCATTGCTTAGTCTTTTGACTCATCTCCTCAGGTATCCTTTGTCCTATATTCCAACCCATGTGCAGATGGGACTTTGCCCTGTGCTTCCCTCTCTCTAGAACTTAGTAAAAATCTTACTTAGTAAAAATGTTTATCATCTTGTCAATTAACTTAAATATATGGTAAAGCTCTATGGAGTGTCTGGAAGGATATAAAGAGCTTTCAGTAGCCCAATACCATGAAATCGCACAGGACAGGGTTGGGATGCATTTATTTAACACACAATTTTTGACTCCTTTGGAATTGACAGCATGAAGAATTCAATTTTGATTGCTGTTATTAAGGTTGATGTCAAGAAGAGAAATGCACAGTGACTAAGAGGTCATCTTCAGCTAGCCAAGTGTCTGATACTCTGCATGTATCTTACGATAATACTGGAACACCTTTCCACAGTGAGTGTGTGTGTGTGTGTGTGTGAGAGAGAGAGAGAGAGAGAGAGAGAAGCATTTTCTGTGCTAGATTCTCTGTATATTTAAGGATTATTCTAACATTTATTATCCAAATTGATATCATCTGAGAGTCACCCTAAAGTGAGGGCACCATTAAAGTTTTTCCAGGGCAACAGGAATAAGCCAGGATTGTCTATCCCATGATTTTATTATAGACAAGCTCACGTACAGACTTAAGGAAGCAGCCCAAATCATAGACAAAGTGACTTATCACCATTTTGACTGGCCAGCAGGAAGCTTTTCCAACAATAAAATGAGCCAAATCCTTGAATTTCGTCACAGTTTGTCCTCACGGAACAATATACTACTGCATGCTGAGACTTGGAAGTTCCAGACACATCATTCATAAGAAGCTGGACAGAAGGCCTGGGCACAGGGCGTTTGCATCCTCCACCTGGGCTGCACACGAGCGGCAGTGGGTTTGGCAGCAGAGGGCCACACTGGAGTCCTCAGTCTGTACCACAGCCAGGCCTTCAGGGAAAATTCTCAAACAGGCTGCAACTTCGTGTATTATCCTCTCAGCCTCATCCATTCCCGTGTCCCGCACAGTGGTTTGTTGATTATGTAGCTTAGCTCAGTCCTCTGAACCCTCCTCCTGCGAGAACAGTCCCAAAGGAAAGTGTCTCTCACCAGCGGGTACATTTTGCTAGTGACAAAAAAATCTTACGTGTGCTGGAGCTCTGTACTTTCTGCTCAGTTTTGTGTCAACCTAAAGCTGCTCTAAAAATCATGCCCTTTAGATACACTCACCACTTCTGAAAGACAGAACCTGGAAAATGAGTTAGCACCTTAGGAAGGGTCTTAAATGGACTCCTATAAGGACTATGGCAAACATTTACTAAAAGCATGGGCCAAGCACGCTTTGATGCATTTTATATCCGTGAACTCATCTGCTACTCACAGGACCCCTGGAGGGAAGCACATCACTGCAAACTGCATTTTACAGAAGAAAGTACTGCACAGAAAGGTGCCATACTTCCCCAAAGTCACAAGGCTACTGAGGGCACAGCCAGCATTCAGGCCTCCACAGCAGAGCTTCCAGAGCTGGTTGCTCCCAGCCATCTCCTGAGGATGGAGAATAAACTGATACCGAATAAGCTGACGTACTCGACGAATGGCTGGTTTTGCCCGAAGAGAATAAACAGAGCCCCCATCTGCCTGCCCACTGCGCCCTGCTGTCTCCCGGAGGACCTTGAGGACTTTTCTCACGAATCCCTGATGGGAGGCCCCCATTGAGTTGAATCCAGTCCTACCTTCGTGTGGTCCTGGAGCTTTAGCCAACCTAGAATGTGGGTAAGGTGCCTGCCTTCTCCGGTCTTTGTAACAAAGCACTCTCACACTTTCAGAAATGCCCTTTATGGTCATATCCCAACACCTAGTTAACCCAGGCCAAGGCTTATCAAATACTCCGTTCCAACAAGCTACTAAAATTGAAGGCAAAAATAAGTCCATTCCATCTCCTAAATGACCTCCCACGGAAGTGCTCTGTAGAGTGAGAAAATGTGATTAAATAGAAAATCACATTATTAAATATCTGGCAAGAGCCAGAGCAGAAGGGAAGAAACAGAAATCAGACACAAATAAGAAAGCATTCTGTGTGCTGGAAAATGGTAATCGGTCCTTCTCGAAGTCAGCCAGAGCTTCCAAGACGCACGTGTGCTCGCACTCTTCCTCCTGTGCCTGGGCTCAGTCTGCACCTCTTCTCAAGCCTCTGTGACACAGCTGTGCTCTCGGACTCCTGCACTGGACAGACGTCCTTTTCTGGAGCTCTTGGCTGGTCCTATGTTCCGGAGAGGGGAGGGGAACTCTATTTGCACAACGATGAACCCATCTGTAACTTATTCCCAACAGCTGTTTTCTGTGGCTCTGAATCAAGCTGGCAAAAGCATCCCAAGTCTCAGAAGCCATTTCATGCTTTTCAGGGTCTAGAAAGATATTTCAATCTCCCTGAGCAAATAGATACAGAAGCAAACCTTTATGGGGCTGGGCCTGTTGCATACGGATATGTGTATGGGCACCAAGTAGCTTTATTTAAAGACAAGGAGCATAAAATTGTGGATCAGAACCATATGTATTCACACAGGTGCCTGTGCACATGGGCGCACACACACAAACACACACACACATCCCTCATTGGCATCCAATCTATTTGTAAAATGTTAATAATTATTTACTTTAAGTAAAATTGTATATAGCTATGATATACACAAGTTCTGGTATATATACACATACACACATTGTGGAATGGTTAAATTCAAGCTAGTTAAAATATGCATTACCTCACATACTTACCTGCCAACAAATCTAAAGCTCTTTTCTGAAAGTTCAAAGTGTTTCATGCAAAGCATCAGAACGACCGGAATTCCTCACTGGAATCCTGTTACCAAAGTTGGGGTTTTTCTTTCCTAAGATGAAAAAAGATACAGAGAAATAAAAGCTGAAATGAAGCTTTTTAAAAATTATTATTATTACATGACAAATGTAGCACAGCAGTGGCAAGGAATTCTTTCCCCTCACTCACTCCGATCTGTGTTCTTTCATGTGTTCTTTGATGCGGAATGCAGGCCTGAGTGGCTCTGTCTGAGCATACTCTGCGATATCCATTCTGGGGAATGGGTTTTAGGAGTTTCTCAGGTTTCATGTAGCGGTTCTGATCCAGTGCTGATCAGCCTTCAAAGGATGTTATTTGGTCATTCTCATGAAATTCGGGACAAGCTATTTTTCCTTGACACAACCCAGAACTGTGTTGGAAAAAAATTTTAACTTAGCTACAAATGCTACTTCCCATCTGTGGCTGGATCTCCCAGCTCTCCGGCTCCCAGCCCTACTGTGCCTTGGCAGTGCGGCCCTGTCTGCCTCACAGGGTTGTATTTCATGTCACTCAAGAATTCTATTCTTGGAAATGCACGTGCCATTGCAAAAGCAATTGCAGGCTCAGAATTTTAGAACTGGGCCTGGTTCCATGGAAAGATGGGTGAGTGAATGAACAATCAGTCTTGATTGAATGCCTACGAAATGCTAGGCACTGTTAATGTTTAACAGCCCCATTTAATCATCAGGAACTACTAGATTACCCCAGTTGCAAAAGAAAGAAATGAAAATGCATGCAGAAAGGTTAAGCGACTTGTTCAAGGCCACACAACCAGTCCCAAGCCTCAGTTCTAGCCCTGATTCCAAAACTACATACTTCCAGGTGGCCACCAACGGGGTGAAGGTTAGTTAAGGACTGAAATAACAGCGGGACAGTAACTGAGGTCCACATGTGTCCAGCCCGGCCCCATCCCTCTTCCCCAGCTGGAATGGGCCAGCCTCTACCTCCACACCCTTTCATTTCCTCCTGGTGACTCACTAACCCCGGCTCCTCCCCACCCTGGTCCTCTCCCAGGGCATGATCCCCAAATTTGCTACCTGCGTCCTGGCCTACACAGGTGAGCCACTCCATCGGCCTGGACCCACCAGAACCCCGCAGCTGGGCCACCAGCCGACCTTCCTCCTCCCAACCCCAGAGGACACCTGACCTTACCCAACCCCTAAACCAGCCTGCGGTCATAATTGCCCCTGCCGCCCACCCGCCCCATTCACATCCAACACAACCATCTTCTGGCCCTCCTCCCTTTTCCCCGCCCCCTCATCCCCTCCGGGCGGGCGTTATCCAATAGCGTGTTGGCCTACGGGCCGAGGACGACAAAAGCAACCAATTGTGGGGGAGCTCTCCGCTTAAGGGTCCCGGCTCTACTCTGAGAAGCAGCTCTTTTGACCAATGAACTGCCCCCCGATTGCACTAAGTGCACAAGGCGAGTAGAGTAGCGGCTGGGATGCCCAATGAATAGGCAGGTTTTCGCGGTTGGGGGCGTGGTAGAGGCGGTCGTCAGGGGCGTGGCGGCAGTTGCCTGGGCGGGGCCGGTAGCGGCGGGAGCTGCTCTGGCCAGGGGTTCCGGCTGCATTTCCATGAGCGCAGCCGGCAGCCGCGGAGCTACAGGAAGCTGAGTAGGAGCGAGCTGGGCCGCTGTGGTCAACCACGCACAGGTAAAGCCGCGACCGAGCGAGCTACGCGGAGCGGGGATCGCGCCTTAGATCCGCCAGGCCAAGCCCTTGAGCCCCGCGGTCCCCGGCGTGGCTCGGCCCACCGCGCCGCAGCCTGAGAGCCCCGGATCCTTGGGGATTCTCGGGGGCCTGTCACCTGGCGCCGCGGGGTTCCCCAGGGCCGGCTTGATAGTGGCAGGGGCAGCCGACACCTCAGTGGGGTCCGCCTTCTCGGGAGCCCTTTGTCCCCTCCCGCCCCGGGGAAGAGGTTTGGACAACCGCCGCCGCGGCCTCCTGGTACTGTCCGCCGGTGGATGCGCCCCGCTGGGGCCTCTGGGGCCTGGGGAGGGGTCTGCTGGTCCAGGTTTGGTGGAGAAGGTCCGGGACCCCCACCTGGAGGGAGAGGGCCGAGGGGCCCCGGGTGCCTGAGAGGCCTCCGTGTTTCCGGGCTCCGGAGACGCATCCAGGACCAATGAGTTCAAGTTCCAGGAGGCCGGTGTTGGTCCATTGGAGGCGCACTTACTGAGCTGGGCTCCTTGCGGGGCACTGTTCTAGGAGCTTCGTGGGCTTCCCCCACAGCGAGAACTGCCCAGCAGGGGAAGGGAGTGCCTGCCAGGACACGCAGCTGGCGCCTCGACCTTGGAAGTGTCCAGGCAGAGCCCGGGGACAGCCACCTGTGCAGGATGCTCGGGGAGGATTCCCAAGGGAGGACTGCATGCCCCATCCGTAGAGCCTTTCTCCGTCCACTCTGGGTGACCCTGAATGCCTGGCTGGGGGAAGTTACCTCGGGGTCCACCAGGTTCAACGTGGATGCTGATGTCCAGTTCACCCGTCATGAACTGGGAGGTTCAGCTCTCCAGAGTGTTAGCAAAGAGAATGGGTGTTTACCAAAAGACAGGTTTATTTCGCCGCTGTGAAGCTCCTTAATTTGAACCGCCCAGGCTCTTATCCTTGGCAGTTCCCCTGCGTTGGTTGCAGCACCTCCAGTTTGTCAGTTTCACCCGCAGTCCAGGAGCCCAGCAGAGCGATCTCGAGAGGATGGCAGATTTGGCAGAATCAGTGTGATGTGCACCTGAGCTTTCTGAGGGCCAGTTCATCACAGCAACTTTAAGCAGGGCCCAAAACAGATAGCGTCTGCTTGCCCCTTCTCTCCCTCTGCCACTGGCCTGAATGGAGAGGACAAAATTTCCTGAAGGTCAGGACTCTGAGACAGAAGGACTCTTAACACATCTTGCTGTGTGTTTGGGGATCAGTCAACCTTGGACTAGTCCATCAGAAAGCAGATCAGCCCATGTACTGCTGACTGCTGATCGTTGGCATGGACTGGACACTTTAGAGAAAGCCCATCTAATTGAGTTTCCTGAGCACACAGGTGAGGAAACAGGATGGGGGTGGTCCCAGTCTGGCTGATGGTCAGAGTTGGGACTAAGGGTTGATTGTTGGACCCTGGATCTGGCCAGTGCTGGCATGACTTGTAATTCACTCCCAGCTTAGTTCTCTCACCCTACAGGAACCCAGAGAATAAGAGCACAGATTTTGGTGCCTAAATGCCTGGATTTAAATCCTTGCCCTGCCTTTTGCTGGCTGTGTAAACACTGGCACAATACTAAAGCTCTCTGCATGTGTGCCTGTTTCCTTACCTTTGAAACCGTAATAATAATGCTATTTCCTTTAGAAGGTTTTTTTTTTTTTTTTTTGAGGGGTGCGTGAGTTGCTCTGTCTGAAGTACTTAGTGCCTGACAGACAGGAACTACTAGGTTTTTTGTTTTGCTTTGTTTTTTTTTGACAGGCAGAGTGGACAGTGAGAGAGAGAGACAGAGAGAAAGGTCTTCCTTTGCCGTTGGTTCACCCTCCAATGGCCGCCACGGCTGGCGCGCTGCGGGCGGCGCACCGCGCTGATCCGATGGCAGGAGCCAGGTGCTTATCCTGGTCTCCCGTGGGGTGCAAGGCCCAAGCACTTGGGCCATCCTCCACTGCACTCCCTGGCCACAGCAGAGAGCTGGTCTGGAAGGGGGGCAACGGGGACAGAATCCGGCGCCCCGACCGGGACTAGAACCCGGTATGCCGGCGCCGCTAGGTGGAGGATTAGCCTATTGAGCTACGGTGCCGGCCAACCACGCATTTTTTTTTTAAAAGATTTATTTATTTGAAAGTCAGGATGACAGGGGAGGAGGAGATAGAGAAGGAGAGAGACAGAGGTTGAGATCTTTCATCCTCTGGTCTACTCCACCAAATGCCCACAACGGCCAGGGCCGGTCAAGGCCCAAGCCAGGAGCTCCATCCAGGTCTCCCACGTGGATGGCAGGGGCCCACTTTAGCCATCTTTCACTGCTTTCCCAGGCACGTAAGCTGGGAGCTGGACTGGAAGCAGAGCACCCAGGACTCATTCCAGTGCTCTGGTGCGGGCTGCCAGCATGGCACACAGCAGCTTAACCTGCTGCACCGCACACGACACTGGCCCCATAGCACTCAGTATTTTCTATTAAGAGCTGAGTTCTTCCCTTGCCTCTCTCCTACCCAATTCATTAAATGTATTCCAGATTTCATTTTATCAGAGACATCTGCAGAGTTTCCAAGTCACATTCCATTTTCTTATTTATTTTTCCATCTTTTATTGAATCAGGTAATTCAGTTTCTGTGTTATACCTTCCCTTGAAATCATACTCTTTTGAGATACACATATTTTGTATTCTCTTTAAAAGGGGGAGAAGGACCTTCAGTTGGTAAACAAAGTCCTTGATGATGCTACTCTCCACGATGTCCTTCCAAATATGCACTCCCTGTTCAGCCTTGCTCCCAGTTGTCAGTGTGGTGCAGCTTGATTATAAATGTATGAACATTTTTAGATTAAGATTTCATGAGCCACTGTATTAAGTGCCTTTCGGAAGTCCAAGGATCGTGTGTCAAATGCATTTAAGCAAGTTCCTTAGTCATTGGAGTAGGGGGAGCACCAGCAAGTCTGCCTGGCCTGCCAGAAACAGAAGTGTGTGAGTGCCTCTTGCTGGTGATCCGTCTTGTTCACTGGTTTATTTGCATTTTTCCTGTTCTTTCCGAGAACTTGAAATAAACCAGATGGCAAGTGCAGTGGAATGGTCTTTTCCCACTCATTTTAGCTTTGTACTTTCAATTCCTTTATCTCCTTCACACTGTGACTACTGGCCCCTCTCAGTTTGCTAGCCTCCTCACTTATAATGGAAAGATGCCTGTCATCTTTATTCTTTTGCAGAAATCCAGTCTAGATTGACATGGAGATTAGAAGTATTCCTTGATTGGCCCTTTCTTTTGCTTTATTTTTCTGAAGAGTTGATTCTGAGTTTTGATTTTTTATTTTTATTTTTATTTATTTATTTTTTTTGTATAGGCTATCCTAGCTCCTCGGCCTTTTCAGAGTAGTTTTTTGTTTCTCTGCTTTTGTATCAGCGTGGTCCCCTTTTCCTCTTGCTGTCTTTTCCTCTGAACGTGTTGGTGGGGGGGCTTCTCCCTTGCTGTTATTCCTTGCTTCTTTCATACAGCTTTCTCCTGGTAACTGTAGCTGGGCCCACCAACAGCATACTGGTTCCCACAGCCCTCATGCAGAACTTCTACCCTAAGCACAACATAATTTATTTGGTATAGAAGATAGAGGAAAGTCTGTCTTATTTCTTGCCTAAAATTTGGCTCTTTGAGAAGCTCCAGTCAAGAGACACTTGCAATATAATGAAAGGGCATGTCCTGCTGCTTATAATATTCTGATTCTTATTGTGTTGTGTGTTTTGAGTACTACTTGACCAATTTAAGAGTGTGAGTGACGTGCAGCATGAAGTGTTTAGGTTTTCCTATTTCATTCTGGGCTAAACTCACCCCAGGAATAGAGGGTGTTGGGAGTGCAGGGTGCCTCTTGATGTGGTCTGGCATCAGGATTTCACATCAGCTTTTCATGGCCCAGCCCTCTTATGAATTTCTCTTTTTTTGACAGAGTTATAGACAGGGGGAGAGAGACAGTGACAAAGGTCTTCCTTCTGTTGGTTCACTCCCCAAATGGCAGCTACAGCCAGCACTGCGCTGATCAGAAGCCAGGAGCCAGGTGCTTCCTTCTGGTCTCCCGTGCGGGTGCAGGGCCCAAGCACTTAGGCCATCCTCCACTGCCCTCCCGGGCCACAGCAGAGAGCTGGACTGGAAGAGGAGCAACCGGGACTAGAACCTGGCACCCATATGGGATGCTGGTGCCACAGGCAGAGGATTAACCAAGTGAGCCACACGCAGGCCGGGTCCAGCCCTTTGGCCCAGCATGTGATTAAGGATTTTTTAACCCCTGTGCTGCTGTTTCTGTATTGATAACACACAGGTGCTAACACTGTCACCCTTAAAAGTTCTGCAGATTTCTTTTTGTTGTCTTGATTCCAGGCCATCATGTTTGGGGATTAAACATTTCTGTTTACCAACTGGCTAGTGTGACAGATGGTGAGCGCCACTGTTACCCGTGAAGCATGTGCACTGGACCCAGTTGGGTGGCGGCTTCTTACACGGGGACCCATTTTCTGATCTTTTGCCGGAGTTAAGTAGCCATC